CCTCCCTCCCTCCTCCTCCTCCCTCCCCCCCCTCCCTCCCTCCCCCCCCCCCTCCCGCCACTCCCCCGCCCCCCCCCCCTCCCCCCCTACCCCCTCCCCTCTCCTCCCTCTCCCCTCCTCCTCCTCCTCCTCCTCCTCCTCCTCCGCACTCCTCCTCCTCCTCCTCCTCCAGCTCCAGCTCAGCTCCAGCTCCAGCTCCCAGCTCCACTTCCAGCTTCCACTTCCAGCTTCTCGCCACTCCACTCCAGCTCCAGCCCACTCAGCTCCAGCTTCCAGCTCCAGCAGCTTGGCTTAGCTGAGACTCTCGTATGCCTGACAGTCCAGCTCATTCCAGCTCAGCAATCTTCCAGCTCCAGCTCTCCCTCAGTTCCTGCCTCCTGCCTCCCCCTCCCCCTCCCCCCTCCCCTTCTCCTCCTCATTGCCTCCTCCTTCTCCTCCTCCTCCTCCTCCTCTCCTCCTCCTCCTTCATTCCTTCCTCTCTCTTCCTCCTCTTCCTCCTCTGCCTCCTCTTCCTCTCGCTCCTCCCCCGACCTCCTCCTCCCCCCCCTCCCCCCTCCTCCTCCTCCTCCTCCTCCTCCTCCTCCTACCTCCTCCTCCTCCTCCTCCTCCTCCGTCCCTCCCCTCCCCTCCTCCTCCTCCTCCTCCTCATCTTCCTCCGCCTCCTGCTCCTGCTCCTCCTCCCCTCCTCCTCCTCCTCCTCCTCTCCTCTCCTCCTCCTCTCCTCCTCCTCCTCCCCTCCCCCTCCCCTCCTCCTCTCCGCCTCCTCCTCCTCCTCCTCCTCCTCCCTCCTCCTCCTCCTCCACCTCGTCCTCAAATCTCGAAGCTCTATCCCTCCTCCTCCTCCTCCTCCTCCGCCGCCTCCTCCTCGTCCTCCTGGTCTCTCTGCCCCTCCTCCTCCTCCCTCATCCCTCCTCCTCCTCCTCCTCCTCCTCCTCCTCCTCCTCTGAACTCGCAACTCGATCCCCCTCCAGCTCCTCCTCGTCCTCCTCAAAACTCAAAGCTCGATCCCCCTCCGCCTCCTCGTCCTCAAAACTCGAATCTCGATCCTCCTCCGCCGCGGCCTCCTCCTCCTCCTCCTCCTCCTCCTCCTCCTCCTCCTCCTCCTCCTCCTCTCATCATCATCATCATCATCCCTCTCCTGCTCCTGCTCCTGCTCCTGCTCTTGCTCCTGCTCCTGCTTCCTGCTCCTGCTCCTGCTCCTGCTCCTCCTCCCCTCCTCCTCCACCTCCTCCTCCTCCTCCTCCTCCTCCTCCTCCCCCTCAAAACTCGAAGCTCGATCCTCCTCCACCCCCTCCTGTTCCTCTTCCTGCTGCTCAGAATTCGAAGCTCGAATTTCCTCCTCCTCCTGCTCCACCACCTTTTTCTCTTCCTGCTGCTCAGAACTCGAAGCTCGATTCTCCTCCTCTCCCCCTCCCCCTCCCCCTCCCCTCCTCGTCCTCCCTCCTCCTTCTCCTCCTCCTCCTCTTCCTCCTCCTCCTCCTCCTCCTCCTCTCCTCCTCCTCCTCCTCCTCCTCCCCTCCTCCTCCTCCTCCTCCTCCTGCTGCTCAGAACTAGAAGCTCGATCCTCCTCCTCCTCCTCCTCCGCCTCCTCTTCCTCCTCATCTTCCTCCTCCTCCTCCTCCTCCTCCTTCTCCTCCTCCTCTGAACTCGAAACCCCTCCAGCTCCTCCTCGTCCTCCTCAAAACTCAAAGCTCGACCCTCCTCCTCCTCCTCCTCCTCCTCAGAACTCGAAGCTCGATCCTCCGCCTCCTCGTCCTCAAAACTCGAATCTCGATCCTCCTCCGCCGGCCTCTTCCTCCTCCTCCTCCTCTTTTTCCTCCTCCTCCTCCTCCTCCTCCTCCTCCTCCTCCTCCTCCCCCTCAGAATTCGAAGCTCGATCCTCCTCCGCCTCCTCCTTTTCCTCCTCCTCTTGCTCAGAACTCGAAGCTCGAATTTCCTCCTCCTCCTCTTCCTTCTCTTTCTGCTGCTCAGAACTCGAAGCTCGAATTTCCTCCTCCTCCTCCTCCTCCTTTTTCTTCTCCTGCTGCTCAGAACTCGAAGCTCGATCCTCCTCCTCTCCTCCTCCTCCTCCTCCTCCTCCTCCTCCTCCTCCTCCTGCTGCTCAGAACTCGAAGCTCGAGCCTCTTCCTCTCCTCCTCATCCTCGGGCCTCGACCCGAAGAGCGGCCCCGACGGCGGCCCGAGGCGGCGGCGCCCGGTGGGCTCCTTGATGAGCCCCCGGTCCGGGGCGCCCGCAGCCGCGGGGCCGCCGGGAGCGGGCGCGGCCTCTCGGGGGCGGGCAGGGCCAGGACGGAGGGCCGAGGCTGGAGGAGCGAGGATCGAGCAGAGGATGATCGAGCAGAGGATCGAGGGTAGAGGATCGAGCAGAGGCTAGAGGGAGTCGAGTCGAGGGCCGGGCAGAGGATGGAGGATCGACGACAGAGGACAGGAAGCTACAGGCCAGAGGATCGGGTAGAGGATAGGGCTCTGGCGGTAGAGGACCGAGGCTGGAGGACCAAGTCTGGAGGATCGAGTAGATGATACAGTCGGCCCGTATCACAAGAATGCGCGACAAGGGTGCGAGGGCCTTGGACGGCCATTTCGAAGATTTTCGAGCGGGGCGCGGTCAACGAAAGTGGCCAAGGATGGGCCGAGGAAACAAGGCTGCAGGGGCACCCTTGGGAAAGTCGCTCATCCTTACCGTGCGGGTCGAATGTAGGGCTTTGGCGGGCCCCGAGCGAAAATCGGGAAATGCCAGCCAGCGCGCGGAACGGGCACCAGCGCTCTGGCCGAAGAGCCGGAAGGCCGACAAGTCCCCCACGAACCATGCGAGAACTCTTCAGCGCGGATCGGGGACAAATGACAGAGGCTAGAATTAGGTCGGGCATGTCCCCTACAGGGGGATTTTGGACGGAAGAAGTCATCTAAGCATGCTCGAACATGTCTGGAAACATTCCAAACACTAGTCCCCAGACTATGTTGTCGCCTGCTCTTGAATATTCTCCCTGAGGAGGGACAGGCCCGACTTGAGACCAGAAGCCGGAGGCCATAGCATAGAGGACCGAGGATCGAGGGCAGAGGCTGGATGGCAGAGGGCCGGGGCCACGGGGCCGAGGACTGGGCGCGGCCTCTCGGAGGCGGGCGGGGGGCCGAGGACAGATGACAGGGGCTGGAGGGCCGACGGCCCGAGCTGGTGGGGACACGCGGAGCGTCAGTGCCGTAGGACCTGCTCGAGGCTGCCTCTCGCCATCGCTCGGGCGTCGGCTCCCCGTGCAGTTCCTCGGCTTCGTGCGCGTTTTTGTGGATGCTCGAGGATCCAGGATGGTCCTCGCCGAGAGAAACATGCACACGCCCGAGCGAGCGACAATTCCAAAGCGAGTCTTGCGAGAGAGGGCATGGCGAACTCACGCGGCGGTGACGCGGGCCGCCCGCGCGGCACGCCACATTGGAGACGAGGGCGATTACGCGCGAGCTTGCACGGGGAGCTTACGAGCAAATGTCGGCGAAGACGCCCCCGTTTTTTTCCGTCGCCCATATGATCTGCTTGAGCCTACTTGGGCAGGCCCCTTGCATCGCCGTCGGCGTCGTCAACTTCCACTCCTTTTCCATATGCACTACTCCTCCCTGTCGCTCCCCCGAACGTGTCAGTGTAGGGCGGGCTGGGCGTGTCGTCTGAAGCTTCCTCACCATTGATGACCCTTGAGCTTGAAACTTGCAAGAGCTTCATGGTTGGAGGGCGGGCAGCTTTCAAAAAGTGGCTCTCGCCTTGCCGCAGCGCGCATTCGCCTTCAAACTGTGCAGAGCTTCAAGGATGAAGGACGGGGGATTTTCAAAATGTAGGTCTCACATCGTTCCAAAGAGTTTCACGGTTGCAAGGCGGACCGCTTTCAAAATGTGGCTCTCGCCTCAGCGCCGTGTACATTGTTTTTTTTCAGAGTCTGCAACAGTTTCAAAGGTCCTGCTGGTTGACGTCCCAGAAACTGTGTTTTGGCAAGGTGTAGGACTGTTAGGGAGCTACATTCACGTTGATGCGCGGTGTGGAAGTCTCAGGAACGACTCTGGCATTATTCAAGATCGCCGAGGCGCACGAAGCTTGATTCGCGGTGTTGAAGTCCCACGAGTGGTGTTGTGGCGCGGTTCAAAATTGTCAGACGGCTGTCTTCCAACCCCTGTGGAAATCTACCATTGTAGTGGCCAACGAAAAAAAGAACTTGGAGGGATGGTTTCTTGCAACATCGTTGGTGAGTGGGTTTGCAATGGTCCCCCGTCCTCCACTTTCTCTTCCTCTCACCTCCTTCCTCATTCCGCTCCCACCTCCACCTCCTCCACCTCCTCCACCTCCTCCTTCTGTACTCTCTTTTCTGCCTCCTCCCCTCCTCCTTCGACGGCAAACTCAACAATCCCAATATTGAACATCATCAAAAGATCCATCAATTCCGCTTGATGGCTGCCTCAACTCTTTGTTGCACGATCTGTTCCTACACGTCCGTGATCAGGTCAACTCGCCAGGCGAACATGTCTATATGGGCCACATGGAGATACTTTTGGGTACGCAGGTGCACGAATGAAGTCGGACGCCGGGCCGGCAGGGGCAGGCTAAGCCACCTGCGAAGGAAAAAACAGGGCAACGAGCACGCTAGTGACACGCGAAGTGCCAAGACTATCAAGGCCCTGGGAACTTGACCGCAAGCGGAAATTCAAAAACATCACCCAGAACTGGCAACCGGGAACCAAGAACCCAGTTGCCTAACGAACTCGGCGGGAGAGTTTCACCGAATCCCAAACAAAATCAAATGGGTGAAGGTGGTATAGCGAGTCTGGAACTGTGTTACAGAAATCTCCTTCCCATGTTCGGGGAAGGAATTTATCACTGTTCCCTATTAATACACAAACCCTCCCCCCCTACCCGGCCGGCGGCCAACCCGGAACCATGCCAACCCCATGCGGGCCACCCCCCCGCGCCGTCCTTGTACGCACTCTGCCTTCACATTTGGAGCATGTGCGGCCAACCCGATGCGGCCTCCACCATCCCTGTCAAGAAAATACAAAATACACTTTGGGGGAAAGGCTTGAGAGATGTTCGTGAGGCCCGCGAGCACTTTGTATTTTTGTTTGACGGGACGGCGGGGGTGTCAGCACATCCCATGCCGCGCGCAGGGCTACCATCACAATACAAATGCACTTCGCGGCTGAATCTGGATCATGCGAGGCCACCCCGCGATCACTGTCAAATGGCTTTTCACAAGGACGGCGGGGGTGGTGGCACGTGGCCTGCTGTGCGCAGGCCCACAACACACAAAACAAGATTCGACAATGATGGTGGGGGCCGACATGGTTCACGGTGTGTGCTGTCACGCGCGCAGGCGCACCTGACGCACTCTGCACGTGCCCCGAACGTGGCGCACCTGGCGGCTGGAGTGTGCGGCACACCTGGCGCACTCGGAGCACGTGGCGCATCTGACGCACCAGGCGTGCCTGGCACGCTCGGGCCCCAGGGGTGCCTGGCGCGCGTGGCGCCCCTGGCACGCGTGGGGCACCTCGCCCAAGCATCGCGCACCTGGGGTCGGCTTTAGTTCCCAGTAGCTGTCCATCCAAAGACGGCCGTTTAACATGCTCAGGCTCGGGTGTTACTTATGTGTTGGGAGGGCGGGTGGGAGTGAGCTAGACGGCGTGCGGGCGAGTGGGTATCTTGACCCCTAACTCTACCCCCTCGCCTGGGTCTGGACGGGGGGGACGCGATGGGTCAAAGCCACCAAGATGGCTCACGGTGGCAGCAAGATGGCCTGAGGGACCTGAAGCTGGCATCCAAGATGGCTCCACATGGTTTGCAATGTGCTCTAGACGGTCCCAAGATCGCCCTGAGACTCCAAACTCCTTTCCAGAACCTCATGCAAATCAATGTGGTGGGCCTTCTCGCAGTTTCGCTTCCGATGTGCTTTTGGGACCTCCATCGATATGGCCTCAAGACGGGCCAAGAGAGCCCAAGAGACGCCCACGGGAGCCCCAATACAATCACGAGCGACCAAGGGCGCCCCAAGAGTGTCCTAAAGGCCCCAAGAGCCCATCCTTCGGTCTCCGCCAGGGGGGGGGGGCGGGGGGGCGGACTTCCACCTTCCCCTTGTTTGAGCTAAGGGGCCCAAGGTCGCCCAAAGAGGGTCCAAGACCCCTTCAAAGTGCCCCAAAGGGACCCCAAACAGCGCCTATGAGGCTTACACAATGGCGCCAAGACGACTCCAGGAGGCCTCCGAAGAGACCTCCGGGAAGCCTCCAAGAAACTTACGGAGAGACAGATCCGCGATGGTCTTTGTTTGACGCATCGCCGCCGTAGTCGTAGTCGCAGTCGCAGTCGCAGTCTCAGTCGTCGTCGTCGTCGTCCTCGTCGTCGTCCTTGTCGTCGTCGTCGTCGTCGTCGTCGTCCTAGCCGTCGTCGTCGTCCTCGTCGTCGTCGCCGTCATTATCGATCTTCCTCCCCCATCATTGTCGTCGTTCACCTCCCCCCCCCCTCTTCGCCCTCCTCCTCCTCCTCCTCCTCCCTCCGTTTCCCCTCCTCCCCCTCCGCGTCCTCCTCCCTATCCTCCTCCTCCTCCTCCTCCTCCTCCTCCTCCTCCTCCTCCTCCTCCTCCTCCTCCTCCTCCTCCTCCTCCTCCTCCTCCTCCTCCTCCCTCCTGCTCCTCCTCCTCCTCCTCCTCCTCCTCCTCTCCTCCTCCTCCTCCTCCTCCTCCTCCTCCTCCTCCTCCTCCTCCTCCTCCTCCTCCTCCTCCTCCTCCTCCTCCTCCTCCTCCTCCTCCTCCTCCTCCTCCTCCTCCTCCTCCTCCTCCTCCTCCTCCTCCTCCTCCTCCTCCTTCCTCCTCCTCCCTCCTCCTCCTCCTCCTCCTCCTCCTCCTCCTCCTCCTCCTCCTCCTCCTCCTCTGTCCAATGAGAGCGGCTACCCAGCCCCGAGAAGGCCCCAAAGAGGACACCAAGAGGGCCCAGAGAAGGCCCCAAGATGGCCCCAGAAGTCCACCCACAAACACCTCGAGCTCCTCCCCATCCTCCTTCTCCTCCTTCTCCTTCTACAATTACACAATATGAATACTACTCTCCCACTTCCCCTGATGGCGTCCGGAAGATGTTCGGCACCCCCCCGCGTACTGTTTTTTTACACACAGGATTCCCCGGAGTTGGGTTTTCGCTTGTGTTTTTTTTCTGAAATGCTGCTCTCGCTGAGGCGCTGGCCTAATTTTCGGGCTCCCGCTCCTTCCGAATCGTGTTCCCGCTGCAGCGCTGGCCTCATTTCCGCGCTCCCGCTCGTTCCGAATCGTGCTCCCGCTGCAGCGCTGGCCCAATTTCTGCGCCTCTCGTTGTTCCAAAACGTGCTCCCGCTGCAGCGCCGACGTTTTCGATCCTTTTTAAGAAGCCCCAAATCTAGAAAATGATCCCCGGCAAAAACATTGGAGGTGATTACACATCCGGTGTCGATTCGTTGATTTTTGGGGCCGCAGAAAGCCCCCCCCCTTTTGGGCGGCGTCCTTTTCCGCACAGG